TTAACTGCTCTACCAGCTTCATCATCCCCTGGGCCTCCTCCACTCTGCCTTCTGACCCCAACTCCTCAATCTGTAGAAAAGAAAACAAAATATGAACAATCGTAAATAGCTGTTTTATCCAATATATTAAATAGGAATGCTACATTTGTCATGTGTAAGTGAAATCCAATTATGTTTAAATCCAGAAAAGGGAACAATGTTGATCTCTATTACAAGACACATACAATATAATTCATTTTCTATGTTACAGACCTGTTCGACTAAGTCTTCAATCTTGTCGGTTAATACATGAGTTTTCTCCTCGTTCTTTCCAGTTGGACCAGGACCCTATTGGCAGAGAGATTATAAATTTTCCAATTCAAACGGTAACACCCGGATAAACCATTAAGAGAAATTCACAAAGCCCTAAAATAGAGAACTAACCCCTGCATTCTGTTGAGCTTGGGAGAGCGCAAGGCGAGCGTGTCCCCTGCGAATCCGACGTTCCACTTCTGCCAGAAGAGACTGCAGGTACCGCAGAAAATCTCGTTCATAACCTTCCTTCATGAACCGAGAGCTCTTCTCGTACCTGACAAAATAGGTTGTTTGTTAGGTGCATAATGCCATACAAAGACATACAGAGAGAATTTCATCAATTCTGATCAACACTTACAATTTTCTTAGATTTTCATCGTGGATTTTCTCACATGGACCTAGGAAATTCAAAAATGTGTTAGTTTCCTAAATGTATTTGCCAGCATGTATTAGCTATAGCTGTTATTGAGATAAACTACTGAGTAAACTACTTACCCAAGTCAGAGCGGGTGTTAGTAAACAACTCCGCAGGACAGAAGCCACATAAATAGTATCGACAAACCTAATGGGGAAGAATCATACAGTATTAAAATACAGGTATTTACAACAGTAAAAACTAAAGTTGTGCGGACCGCGCGATGCAATGCGAATAAGTGGACTTCACACACATTAGATTAACGATAATATCTTCAAAAAACACATCAACTTAGTAAATTAAAAGCAATAGATGCTTATACATCGAAGTTTGGGCTACTTTAGACCCACAAGGGAAAACAGGAAAAAATTAAGAGATATTAGCAACCTCAAATAGCATCAGAAAACGGCACGTAGCGTGTATTATGGACCGTTAGCTTTAGCAACGCTATTCATACACGCGGAAACCAATGTGTTGAAGATCCCAATCGTTTAGTACTTTTAAATAACGGTTTTATCTAACTATCATTTCGAAAATTAAACATTGTCTATTGTTTCCCAGTCGTCAACCACACACTAAAACAATTCAGAAAAAGGGAAACAACCAGATTCTACAATATATTGTACGCTAACTTTAGCTAAAATGCTAACTTACACTTTCGTCGTCCCATTTCACGTTTGATCGCTTTTCGTTTGGGGCCAAGTTTCTATCTCTGCCCATCAACTCATCGAGTAATTGGGCTGCTGAAAGCATTTTGGCTCAAGAGTATTTCACTCTGCTTTACAAATTCTTATCCTTGAATAAGCCAGTCCACACCATGTATTCCGCGCAAAATATCCCTAGTCAAAATGGCAGACGCCGTGACAACAACGCCCGACTACTGGACGAGTGCGGCGGCAAGGTACTCTGAACCGGAAGTACATGTTTCGATTTCAACATTAGTAAAGTGTTTTAATGTACTATGACGTAGCATTTGATGACTAGGGAATTTGTTTTAAACGTCATGCACACTGAACCCATTTTACACTAATTAATGTACATATTTTAAAAACAAACAATCTTAACAAATGTAAATCGGGATATCAGTGTCGCATTAAACTGAGCACAACACCGATATTACAAATTACACTTATTTTAACATTTAGATCTCTAAGATATCTACAATTAAGTAACGGTTATTTATTTCTATGATTTAAAATGACTTTATTAAGATGCAACTAGTTCAATGTGTGAAAGTTGCTTCAGAAAGGAACTAACGTTGGGATTCGCAGTTGTTACACCTAAACATACCCCCCTCTGAAGCTGTGGTGTCTGTGGTTCCCCCTGCACTGAAGGCGCTCTGACACCACTTAAACCAGTGTTCGGAGCACCGTCCACAGAATCAGCAACAATAATACATGACAAGGAGGGAACAAATAGAAATACAAATACTGACCAACAACGATAAATTTCGTTAACCAAAAATATTGTTTTTCACGAGTGTGCAACAAAGGCTCGACTATATCCTCCCAAGTTTAGCTAGTAGGCAGCGTTAGCCGGGAAGCTAATGTTAGCTGACAGCGCTTTATTTATAGGACTGGCTGGCGTGTCGTTGGCAGGGAGTTCTTGTGACAATTTGTGTTGACATCTAAAACGGACAAACTTTATGTGTCCTATGACCTCGCAACGCTAACTGACTTACAACAAAATGTCCAGTCTTTCGTTGGATAGAGAACTACAGGAGCGCCTGAGAGAGGCGTCTGCCATCGGGGACATCGACGAAGTACGGACACTGGTGGAGAGCGGAGTAAATGTCAATTCACAGAACGAAATTAACGGATGGTGAGTGGGGAACACAGTCTCTTTCAAATATTCAAACCAACAGGTGTTGTTTTGTTTCCTCAATTTCAAAAATAATGTGTGTTAACTGTTGTGTAAAAGTTGAGATCCACAAAATACTATGTTACAAATAGTATAATTACTCAGCATAATCCTTTTAGCACTAGTCTCACTCTGTCGGCCTCAACAGCCACCTGTTAAGTCCTTACAAGAGCGACACACAAAGGCTTTGTAACTCAGCATTTGTTCTTAAGTTTATTTGGCAGACAAGACCACAGAAAATGTTCTGCATTTTATGTCATTGTCATTCTATTAAAAAGGGAAATGTTAAATCACCAAATACTGTTGTTCATTAAACTATGTTCTATTTTTATATCTCCAATCATCTCACCAGGACATGTCTACACTGGGCGTGCAAAAGGAACCATAAGCACATAGTGTCCTACTTGCTCAGTTGTGGAGCTGACAAAGAAATACTCACAGCTAAGGATGAGCTAGCCTCACAGCTGACCTCCAAACCAGAGATCAAACGACTGCTGGGAGGTAAACCACACGCTTCACCTTTTTTACTCTTTTGTAAATCGTATTCATCCCACACTATCATTATACATACATTTTGGTTGTGTGTAGTCTCAAAAGGTAGAATAGATAAGACATTTTATCTTTAAGTAAAATATGATTTTCTCTGGAGCAATAATAGCAATGGAAGGAAAACAGTGAACATTTGCTGTACATGAGCTTTTGTTACATGTACACTATTGTTCTAATGAGGAATGGGTCACATACTCTGGAGTACTTTCCAAATCTAGAATTTGAGTATTTCATGTTGCATCTTTAGTCAAATTTAATAAGAATTAGATTTAACAATTAGATTCAACAACCATTGTGTATTTTTTTATGAAATGTAAGTAACATACTGTATGTATTGTAGTTCATTTAGCAGTTGTAACACTTTGACCTGTAGCTACAGGTGTTGATTGAAGCTATTGTTTATGGCTTTGAAAGGAAAAGACATGTCTGATTGTGTTATCGTGTTTGGTTAATAAGAAACTGTTCCTCTGTTTTGATCTGTCATCGTTTTCACAGTGGAGGTGGAGGACATGCCTGAAGTCAAGGAGCCTGAGTTACCTATCATTCCCAACTATCTATCCAACCCACCCTTCTTGTACTCCAAGATGAACAGCAAGTCAGATGTCATCCTGGCACAGCAGGTCACTCAGAACGGCTCTGGAGACCACACTGATGACACACAAAGTGATTCAGCTTCTCTTTCTCCGATACATGAGCCTCAGACGTCACAGAGTCTTGTTGCTGACGCCCCCGTCCTTCCCTCAAACCCCGCTCATCTTTCCCAAACCCTGAGTGAAAATTGTATCCACGTGGCTGAGCAGAACGGTGTTGTGTCTAGTCCCGCCTCCTCCCACAACCACACTGTTGTCAACTGCACAGTGCCTATGGACCTGTCAGTGGAGCCTCACCTGGTCAACCATGCCGATTTCCCGCACACAGTGGCACACAATGGCACCATGAGTTCACCTCGGTTGTCATCACCAAACCTAGCCAGCAGTGGTGGGAACCAGATCCAAGCTCCAGTGGCCAACACCAACCCAACTGTGAGCAGGCAGCAGTCAATTCCGCAGCAGCTGTCCTACAGCCAGGCCAGTGGGGCTATGCCAGCGTTCCAGCCTTTCTTCTTCACGAGCACCTTTCCTGTCAATGTGCAAGGTTAGAGATAAAGTATATGTTTGAGTATCCCCAAGTATTTTTGACTCTACACACATTTTTTTACATGTACAGTAGTAAACACTTTGCTAGACTCTTTATTGGTTTGTCATGTTTGGTTTCAGTAGTCACTTCCTCCTTATGTTACAACATGCCTCTGTCCTGTGTATTTACAGCTAACCCTGTCAAACCACACAGGACTTACCAGTTGGCTTCAAACCAGAAGTCAAAGGCCAAATTTTTTCTGGAATTTGCACAAGCAGTGAAACACATTTCTCTCCTTTAGGGCTCAATCAAAATAATCAGTTTAAAATTATATTCAATTATTCTACCGTCCATCAACTTATGGAAAATGATGTTGTCAAATACACGGCCTGTCCTTCTCTCTGCAGAGTTGGTTCTGAAGGTTCGTATCCAGAACCCCAACGCACGAGAGAACGACTTCATTGAGATAGAGCTGGACCGCCAGGAGCTCACTTATCGCTCTCTTCTGAGGGTGTGTTGCCGCGAGTTGGACATCAGCACTGAACACGTGGAAAAGATCCGCAAGCTGCCAAACACCATGCTGAGAAAGGTATGCAGCATTTACACAAGTGTTTATCTTTCCACCGTCAGTCATTCTAAGGCATTGTTTACATTAATCATCACAGGAAACAAAATAGTTTCTCTCTGAACCTAAACTGTCAAATACATACTACCTTATTCTTAGTCTTAAGTATTAAGAAATTGATGAGGACGTTTATTTTGTCTTCCCTCATCAAGGACAAGGACGTGGCTCGCCTCCAGGACTTTCAGGAGCTGGAGGTTGTGTTGGAGAAAGCAGAAGGCCTGCCCCTCTTCACTGGGTCTGGCGTGCTAACGGACAGACCCTGCTACAACATGAAGGCCTCCCGCCTCACCTATTAGAGCTTCCACAGAGCCTGAAGTGTCTCTGTGTTACATGCGTTCCTGTAGCTACTCTCCAGCAACTACAACCAATTGGCTGCCCAAACCCCCTTTAGGGATTTCTTTTTTGCCAATTCCCCTTTGCTAAGGGTTTCTTTATTTAAGAGTAGCTCCTATCCTTCTCCTCTTCCCTTCTGCTGCTTAAGAATACCCCAACAGTTGCAAGCGATGACTGATGCATGGTTTATGGAACTGAACTGTGTGCAAAAAAATATATATTTGTACCTCTCTTTGTCCTCCCTTTGTCTGTCTCCTCTCCTCCCGCTGCACTTTGTGCCAAGGCTCAAGTTGGATGACGGTGAGGACACAGGCCTGGACTTCTCACTGATTGGACTTGAATGGGATTCTGCAATAGCCTTACATGGACAGACTGTGGTTACAGACCTTTATCAGCCCGTGTGGACATGGGGCAAAGGACAAGCGGAAAGTTTTACATAACTCAGCGATGAGTTCATCTCTAGTCCAGAGACCAGGACGAGCTGCAGCACAGGGGACATGCTCACATCAACATGGATTTGTAACAAATCATTGTGTAGAGAGTAATCAGATATTCTCACTGACACACACACACACACACACACACACACACACACACACACACACACACACACACACACACACACACACACACACACACACACACACACACACACACACACACATTAATCATACATGCTTTAGATTAAACCTGGGTGTCTTTGCCTGCCAATGGGCATCCACTGCTGGGCTACACAGTTATTACAGTGACCTCACGTTAGGTGCGACTAACAAAGTAGTACTTTTATTTGCTGAAAACACGTACATTCTGCTTTAATCTGTATCCAGACATACATGTGGATATGGTAGATATTTCCCTAGTTATTTAAAATCTTTGGTCTCACACTGTGGAAAAGAGAAAACTAATTTAGTTTAAATGGTCTTTGTTGTCCTGTTCATGGGGAGTTCGTTGAAACATTGATGATGCAGTATCAGTCAGTGTTAGATAACCACTGTTGACGTTCTCTGTTTAGTTTTTTCGATCAATCATCACACACACCTCATTTATCACATACATGATGCTGCCAGTTGAATATTTTCTCTTGCTGTTTCAATTTAATTTGACATGATACCAAAAACTAATCCCACCAGGAGACCAACAAAAACTTAAAAAAAAAAAATTGTAATTAAAAATGTTAGAATTATGTTGCGAGTGCAAAGTCTTTTTTTTAATAACCATTGAGTGCTTCCTTGTTCCACCAACACTAATCCAAATGGTTACTTATCATCTTTTTTGTACTGTGTCAAGACAAACAACCCATAATATTGCTTATTGAGCCTATTTTAGTGCTAATGTGTCATATATATATTCTTTTTACATTTAAGTCAGTTTTTTCAGTGAATGTTTTCTTTCTTGAACAGAGACGCTGTCATCAGGTTAGAATTCTCACGCTGACAATGAAAAAACACTTTAACTGCTGCCACCTCCTGTGGTTCGTGCTGCTTTCATCAAGGCTGGGTCTTAATCATTAAAATTGACTGACACGTCGTTTAATCGAAACACTTCTCACCCAGCAGTTCATGTTTACTGTTCAAATATATACCTGAAGCTCTTACTCTGTTTGTATGTTTTCTTATATATTTTTTTAAATTTCTTTGTAAAATTATTTTTAACCAGGCCTTTTGTGTTATTTGTTAAAATGTTTGCTAACTGTTCAAAGTAGAGTCGAGATGCTGTCAGTGGAGCCATGTGCAATGTAACAAGTGGAGTGTTTGATTGAGGGTTTATTGAAAGTTTTGCTGTGGGACTGCAGGAAGTGCTTCTTTAATGATGATGGGGTCGAGAAGACCCCCCTGGGGGTCATCTTTGGTTGTGGCCAATTCTTCTGGACAAAAAACGAGCGTCTGTGAGTTTGCTTACTGTTGTAGAAAAAGCAGTTTAACTTAAACCTATGCATTCAGAGTCTGATATTTTTATATACAGTCTACGTCCTGTCTACTTGTAGATAAAAAAAACTTTGGGCGCTGTTTAAGTCGATTGTTTTTGTGGTGGACATCTGTACCTGTTCTTTGATAAAGCACGGTGGAAATCATTAAATCACTTCCTGCCTGGTTTCTCAGAGAAGCTCGGATCAGTCAGTCAGATTCAACAAAGTCAATTCTCACCTTAAATTAATAATTTGAATGTTTCAAATCCATGCTGTAGCTGATTTAGACACTAGAGGGAGCAAAGCAGCAGAATTTGGACTTGGGTTGGACCAGAGAAGATGCACTTTTAATTCTTTGGTCAGATTAAACTTGTGTTTAAATTTAGAATATTAACATTTTCTGTTAATGAAATGTCGCTTTTCGTCTTTAGACTGTAGGGAACCAGTGTCCCGATGCCTTGGTCCTTCGACGATGTAGCATCAATATTCAAGATTCTAACAGCGGGTTGTGTAATCCAACATTACACACATTTATACCTGTAATTGCTATCAGTTCAGATAAACTCATTTTTGTTTCATAAAGTTCATCTTTGAAAGTATTCTTGTTTGTACAATTGTTTTTATTCAGTTGTTTATCAAAACTATTAAAGAGAAAGAACGATTGTCCATATCTGCACAATGAATATAATAAAATCACTCACCAACTATGTCGGCCTTGACTAAGTTTCTCAGTCTAGGGCACGGGTGGGCAAACGTCTTGGCTCACGGGTCAACATTTGACTGGCGGGCCTGTCCAGTTTTGGCTGGATGTAGAGTGTTTGGGGAAAATAATATCAATAAAAATGTACAAGATTAAACCTTAACCTTCAAAGACATTTTATATCTGCTGCCATCTAGTGGCATTAACTAAAATTACAATCAATTAATTGCAATGCATGAAATGTAATAAAATAAATGAAACCAGAATTTACCATATGTTTTACCAGTCTTTGGTAGACCAGATTAGAAAGCTTAGCGGGCTGTATCTGGCCCACAAGCCGTAGTTTGCCCATGTCTAGTCCAGGACTGCAGTGTCTGAAATGTCAGAACTCATCAGACTGGAAACATCTGGAAACCCAAATAGAAATGTCAAATATCTGTCAGGTAAATAAGTTGACTAATTGATTTTATTAAAAGAAATATTGACATGGCCCCGTGGTCATGGGGGAGGAGGGGTTACATTAGTGAAAAAAAGTAAAATATCATGTACGGTACTGTAAAACTCCCAGGGGACAAACAGAAAAAAGAATTGGGAATGTTCCTTATCTCTTAGGCTAATATTGTTCCACAGTCCAGCTGTAGTTGTGTCTCTGTCCTGTCTGATCACCTTTGACCTGCATTCGCACAGCGAGCCGTCATTGTACATTTTGTTATGTCCCCCCTTGTGATTTAAAGAACATAAACTATTAAGTTATGGTTCCAACGACCCCATCACGTATCCGGGAAATCCTTAATCTTTTCGGCGAAATAGACACAAGTGTCCACGGGGTGAGCAGATGTTCAGACGCCGCAGACACTGGAGAACACAAATATTGCGTAAATCCATGCGGAAGAATGTTGTGTACAGTGCAACCTTAATTTAAGGACAAGGGAATGCTGGGACATAAAAACACGTCCCACTTGTCTCTGTTGGTATGTTGGGCTGTGTGTCTAGACTGTGACTGAAGGATCAGCTTAAAGGTCCTGCTGTGGCTGGAGGTGTTCTGCTCCTTTGTTCTGGACTGAGACTCTTGTAATAAGATTAGTGTGAAGTCATAACACTTCCATTGTTTTCAACCAGACTCCCAGGACTCAGGTCTGAGTGGTACAAGCTGTGGACCAGCCTGGTCTAGAACTTCTAAAAAGCGTTTCTGCAGCAGAGGCAGAAGGAGAAGTCACCTGGAGGTAAAAACCCTGATGCCCAAACACAGTATGAAAACAAACATGGCAGAATAAAAACAGGATAAATCCAAGAAATGAAAAGTAAAGATTATGCTCACTTTAACTGATAAATCTGGACCTGCAGTCTTATACACCTCCATATTCATATACAATGTGTTTTAACATGAAAGCCTCTGATACATTTTTTTCTATTTACATATTAATCCAATTAGAATCTAGTCCATTAACATTAATGTATTTTTTTAGTATTGAGGGGAGGATTATGATGTCTTTTGAAATGTGGGGGCTGTGGAGGGGGACTGGGCTGCTGTTCATTATAGTGACATGAGCAAGTAAAATAAATCATCAAAGCCTTCTCTCCACATTCTGCATGTGAACATTAATGAAGACGTGACATGTCCTCTGACTGAGGCTGTTTTTGAACTCGTCATGCAAAGGTGGCGATGCCGGTGAGAAGGTCAAAGTCAAGGCCTGTTTCCAGACAATGCATGTCCAGAAGGCAGACCAGCAGACCATCGGACAGCCCTGCGTGGGGTCCTGCGGCTGAATTCAATATGCCCCAAAGCCCTTTTGTGGACTATGCTGGGAATGCAGAGTCTCAAGAGGTGAAGGTTAGGGTCGGAGGGCCAGAGGGGCAAAACACTGCTTGATTGTGCATCAATGAACACATGCATTCATTTAAGTGTAAAATGACCAGCTGATTTTTTATAATAAAACATAACCAGACCTGGTAAAACGTCAGTGTTATTTTTACACTAAAACTCTGGTTAAAGTTGCATTAAATCTCACCTTAGTCCACGTCTCAGTTTGTCTGTGAACCAGTGTTTTCACAGAGAACTCACAGACAACAGACCAGACTGAGACCGCAGGGCCTGGCCTGGAGAGCACCGGGCCTCTTTGGACTCAGCAGGGACTCGGCTTGGGAAGCATGGACTCCTATCAACGCACACACACACACACACACACACACACACTTCTTTACACACCATTTCATTTTTTCACATCTTCCAGGTCTTTGTTTGTTTTAAACTAATTCACTTACATTTTCCAGAGGTTGCTTGGAAACCACACTTTATTGGAAAGGACTTCTTCATACTGGAGATTGTTTGATGGCTGTGGAACAGAAGATTTATTCAACATCCGTTAACCGCTAGGTCAAGGGTTTGATTCCAGTCTCTTCTTAGTCTACATTCTATTGTGTCAACCAGGGAAAAACAGACTACTAACTGAGACCCACCAAATGTATTCAGGCATCCCACCTGTAGGTCACAACCCCCCATTTGGAAAACTCAGATCTGAAGAAAAATATTTGTGTTTCCATGACAGACAGCCATGATGCTGCAGCGGCAGCTGGTTTGTCGCAGCAGGCACCTGGGGAAACACAGGGTTGTTATCTGTCAGGAAACTCTGCAGAGGTTTACAGGTACAAAAACAGAACGAAAAGAAGAATTTACAAAAACATTAACAAAAGCACCTGTGATTCCAACCCTGTGTAATTTTAATGATTTTAAAATAATAATAATACAGCTTATTCTTGCATATATTTACAGTCATTTTGAGGTACACAGAAATCATTGCATTTCCTTGTTTTGTTTTTTATACATGTGACACTATGGGGAGTTGAGGATTACTTTAAAATTACTAAATATATATAATGTATACATAAATCAGTATGTGTTACCCTTAATGTTCTTTTTTGTTCGTGTGTTTCATACAGCATGAGTCTGGAGCTACCTGAAGACTTTTGTTTGGTGAGTTTGGTGCCATCTTCTGGAGACTTGTCCTTCGTGCCAGTGAAGAGCTATTTTTTAGTTCGTATAAAATTATTTTATTATTTAGTCCAAGATGACGATGCATCTTCCAAATTCCTGTATTTTAGCTGATCTTAGGTGAAATGTGTTCTCCAAAGGGATGTTAATTTATTATATATATATATTGCTGAAATTCAAAGTTGTTTATTTATTTTAAAAACTGAATTAAAGCGAATTAACGGACTTGTTTAATACTCGATTAAGGACAAATAAAATAAAATAAAATATCTCTCCAACATTTCTGTGGATGTCTGACTGTTGTGTTGGTCTCTGCGGGAGGACCAGGGCAGTGTAAGGGTTAAGGCAGCCAGCGCCTTACGCACAGGTGTCTCCGCAGTCTACTGTGGAACAGCGACTGCAACTGTCGGAGAACTCCCCCCCGTCCCCCTTTTAATTAAGTTGATCATAACTGTAACCCGGCTGGGATTCGTCCTGGGACCAGACAGGTCACTGTAATTCATGGAGTTAGATCCCACTTGGGATTTGCGGAGCGCGGTCCTAAACTTTCGCTACTACTAAACCTCCAGACCCGGAGATCTCTCCGCATCCACGCCGCTCCAGCAGACACGGTCGCGATCTTTAGCTGAAAAACCGAAGGAAAAAAAACAAAAACTGTGGATTATTTTGTGGCATTTTCAAGGCTTTAAGTCCGTGCTAAAGTCCGATCACTTTCGCGATCTTGGTTCCGCTACGCACCGAATATGTGGTGGATGCTGTTTCCCCGCTGGATCTGGTTTCTTTTGGGACACTGGTACACTTCACTGCTTTATATGGACAGCTGCGGCGTGGGCGCGATGCCCATGTCAGTGGCAAAAGTGGTTTATTCTCACGCAGGTCTGTGTCCCAACGACCTGAACCCGAACCTGTGGGTGGATGCCATGAGCACCTGCATGCGGGAGTGTGAATCCGACCAGGTGAGTTCACTGTCACCTGGTTTTGCTGTGTAAAAACGCACCAGACTGGAGCTCCTAAATGTGAAAAAGTGCATTAAAAAATCAGTATTTTCTAAAATTAGTTATTATATAAATTACCTAAATGTGAAAAAGTGCATTAAAAAAATCAGTATTTTCTAAAATGATATTATTTAAACTGCAAAAGAATACCACGACATTTTAAGTAAAAAAAAACCCATAACATTACACATATATTACTAATGTTATAGTGGCAAACAAAAACATTTAAAGAATTTTAGGTTTTTGTAAAACTTTTATGTTTAGGATGCTAAATACAAAATGTTGTATCTTTTTTTCTGGATTTTTTCAAATACAATTTCTGTATAATATAGCAATATGTAACATCAATATCAACTAAAAAGTGTAACACAATAGCTTTTATTATATCTTATTTAGCTGGTCTAAACTATAGACAGCTCATCATAATGTTAAATATTTGTTAAATGTTAAATAAATATTAATGTTAATATATATATTTTTTTCTGTTTGTATGATTATTGTTCTGGAACAACAAGCAAAAGTCAAAATAAGAGAATCGACTGTTAACTGTTAACCGCTCATATTATTCACATTATGTCATCACGTATCAACACACAGTTCTTTTAAAGGGGCCACAGCCAGGTCTTCACTTCACAGCACAATACTTGTGTCTTCTCCACCTTCCAGGACTGTGAGTCGTTTGAGAAGTGCTGCCCTAACGTGTGTGGCAATAAGAGCTGCGTGGCTGCCCGCTACATTGATATCAAGGGCAACGGGGGCCCAATTGGAATGCCAAAGGGTGCCACCTGCGACCAGTTCATGTGCTCCCAGCAAGGCTCCGAGTGTGACATCTGGGACGGCCAGCCTGTCTGTAAGTGCAGGGATCGCTGTGAGAGGGAGCCGCACTTCACGTGTGCGTCCGACGGCATGACGTATTATAACAAGTGCTACATGGATGCTGAGGCCTGCTCCAAGGGTGTCTCTATCTCTGAGGTCACCTGCAGGTAACATGTTAAGTATTTTACATCTCTACTTTGTTTGGTTCTGATAAGTTTTTTTTTTCTCAAAAGTAACTCAGGAGTTTAATTTGGACCTTTGTCCCAATATTCAGTATAACTTTGGTCTAAATTTTATCATGTTGAAAAGACCAGCAAAAAGGGGTGAGGGAGAGGGGGAAGGAGGACCACCATTGACTGATTGATTTTGATGTTATGCGTTAAACTCATACAGCATGGTAGTTCCAAAGGGGTCAAAGGTCATACACATTAAGCAGCTGTTTCTGCTCCTGGTCTTTGTGCACAGGTTTCTCCTGACGTCTTAATATTTTCACAGTAAAAATGGCGATAGAACAAGTAAAACAAATGGTAAAAAATACTTTTGCACAAAGTGAAATGTTACCTTTTTAGTGTCACTAGTCTTTGTGAGGGGGCAGTCCATCAGTCCAGGCCCACATACTGATGCCTGTAGTCTGATCTACTGTGCTTCTTTAGGGCTGAAAATGCTTCCTTTTAAATTGGAGTAAATAAAAAGCCATTAAGAAATGAAAGGTAATGAGAGGTATGTGGTAACATTCCCTAGATTGTAACATCCTGGACTAATTCCTTTTTAATCGCCTCACCCACAGGTATCACCTCATCTGGCCAAACACCAGCCCAATTCCTGCAGAAACCACTCTCCATCCCACCACTGCCCTACAGACCACCCGTCCCGTTGACATACAACTACCCGCAATACACAGCAGACCCTCTCAACTAGCTGTGTTTGTTGGCGAGACGGCTAGTTTCCTGTGTGACGTGTCGGGGAAGCCTCCTCCAGAGATCACCTGGGAAAAACAGCTGAAGGGCAAAGAGAACGCCATAATGAGACCGAACCACGTACGAGGGAACATCGTGGTCACCAACATCGGACAGCTGGTCATATACAACGCACAACTGCAGGACGCTGGCATCTACACGTGCACGGCCAGAAATGTCGGGGGGAGTGTGTCATCGCACTTCCCCTTGGTAGTGATCAGGAAAGAAATGAAAGGTAAAAGTGCAGAGGGGAATCGAACCAACATGCCTTTTCCAGCTGAAGAGTGCCTCAAGGGTCCGGACTCGGACGACTGCGGTGATGAGAGCATGAGCTGGTACTACGAACCCAAGAGAAACAATTGCTTTACCTTCACATACAGTCAATGCAATAAAAACCGAAACCATTTCGACACCTACGAAGCCTGCATGCTCTCCTGTGGAGGAGAGCTCGCTGCTCCCTGTAGCCTACCAAGCCTCCATGGACCTTGCAAGGCGTATGAGCCTCGCTGGGCCTACAACAACAGCCTCAAAAAGTGCCAGTCCTTTGCCTATGGGGGCTGCGGCGGCAACGAGAACAACTTTGAGACCAAGGAAGCCTGTGAGCAGATGTGTCCTTTCCCCAAAAACCACAACTGCAAAGTGTGTAGGCCCAGAGGTAAGATGGTGAACAGCTTCTGCAAGAGTGACTTTGTGATCCTGGGGCGTGTGACGGAGCTGACGGAGGAGCAGGAGTCAGGCCACGCTTTGGTGACAGTGGAGGAAATCTTGAAGGATGAGAAAATGGGCCTGAGATTCTTTGGCAAAGAACCACTGGAGGTGACGCTTCTGAACATGGACTGGAGGTGTCCGTGTCCCAACGTCACCACCACCAGCGGACAGCTCATTATCATGGGAGATGTTCACAACGGCATGGCCGTGCTGCAGCCTGACAGCTTCGTAGGTGCCTCGAGCGCCCGCAGAGTCAGGAAGCTCCGTGAAATTCTCCACAAGAAATCCTGCGATTTTCTGAAAGACTCAGTAGCCACTCAGTAGAGTCTTTAAAGTCTCAAAATTACGGAAATTTTAATGCAAAAAGCATTTGCAGAAAACTGGGTAAACTTTCAAAAATGCAACACTACAATCGGTAGAATGTTTTTTCATTAAAAATGTTTGAAACGCAAGAGGACAAGGAAAATACTACAATACTACATACAACTATAGTGACAGGCGACGGTTAGGTTTTGGATATAAAACGAGCATCAACCAAAGATTTCTTATAGAGGGAGATTGCTCTATTAAGTCAAGTTCTGACATTAAGATAGCCAAGGTGGAAACAGCTGCTGAATGTGCAGGGGCTCTGTCATGGTGTTGCTTTTGAATGGGCTTAGGTGCTGCTTGAGGAAATCACTACTTGGCCATTGTCATTTTTTTAATGCATTTCGCAGACACTTTTATCAAAAACAACATACAAGAGAAGGATTAACATTCAAGCACATGGTTCCCTTTAGGAATCGAACCCAGGACTCTATGCTTTCAAAGCAAGCGTGCTGCACTATGGAAAGCACATTAACAGAGTAAGCAACTAGGTCATAGAGACATAACATCGACTCTGGTGGGACTCGAACCCACAACCTTTGAATCACTTCTTCTCTCTCAGCTAGAAGTCCAATGCGCTATCCATTGCGCCACAGAGCCACACCTTCAAACTCCAAGCATTCCAAAACAAAGAGAACAGACAGTGTCCAAACCTAAATATTAGTTCGACACACTGAAAGTCTTCTCCGTGTCCTTTTGCCTCCAAAATAGTTTTGGTGCATTATTAACATTATCAACAGGGTTTCACTGTATTTTACGACCATGTACCAAAGTTCTTTGAGCCAGGTTTATACTTCATTTTCAGAGTACAACACACTACACTGACCTCCTCAGTCTGACTGAGTACAAACAGACTATGTTCTCTATTATTTCTCTTTTTCATCATTTTACTGCTCTGATTAACTTATAGTAAATCTTATAATCGCATCATAGTTGAAATTCATCATTAATGTTGTTTTTTCCAACGTGCGTTAAAACTTTTATTTTAAAGTTTTTAGAAACATGTTTATACTAAACCACCTGTCTGATGCATTTATCCTGTATTTGTAAGTATTTCATTTCTTTAACAGTTTATTAAACAACATTATACTGTAGTTTTTATGTCCAGGTGTTAGCTAAAGTTAAAATAGTGCCATTGGTATAACAGTACGATGAGGTACTTTGTCTTGAGGTCAAAGTGCAAAAACGTCTCTGAGCCAATGAGGTCGCATCGATGTAACGAGAAGCTTTGGGTTCATCTTTGTGAGAAGTTTTAACTTAAAAACACACAGTTGATGTTTTTTTTCTGTGCACAATATTTATTTTAAATGTGATCCATGTCTTATAACAGCCAGTGGACTTTCAGTACAGGTATATATATCTATATTTCACAAATGTGTAGAGTATGTGTAACATACATGTTTTATTTTATCATGGTATATACATGTACATGTATATATATATATAAAGTATGTAAAGTGTCATGAAGGCTGGTCAAATGAATAAACGTGATTGGGATGATATTACAATGGCCCTCTTTGTGATGTTATTGTTCTTTGTTCCTCTGTTGGAGACAAAGTACCCAGCATGCTCGCACCTCATCAAAAGACCTGTGTAGGCAGAGCATGTGACATTCTGTAGCTGACATCCCACCATCCACATCCCGCTCCCCACACTTGCATTTTACACTCACAAACATCCAGGGCCTTATTCTGGCATTAAAAATCTGAAGCAGGTCACATTCCAGCCCAGCTGTGGTGGCCTGTGGAGCTGTGTGTTGTGTCTGGGTCTGGGGCCCTCGCATAGCACACACCCCACCGACCATCAGTTGGCCTTGTGCGGCCCCTTTCATGTGCAGGAGGCCGGGTGAAGGGGGAGAGGAGGAGAGGGGAGGGATGTTGGCTGGTTCCTGCATCTTTTCTTCTCTCACTCGGCCACATCTGTGCTAATAAAGCAGCTTAATATGAAACAGGAAAAAATATGGAAAAAAAAAAACTAAATAAAAACACCAAACATTGTCTTTGAATCACATTTAGAGTGAGACAGAGCTATTTTACTGAAATTGTCTGTATAATTTCACACCTAAGACTTAATCACAAAGATCTGAAAATTAATGAAGGTGTTTACAACAAACACCCTAACCCTGGGATACCATCAGGAAAAGATTTGTCACAGGAACCAGCAGGATGTACAGGAAACCAAAACGAATGGTATCAACCAGCCACAGAATGTTTTCCCCCTTCCCCCTCTGCCCTTATATGCTCCTCTCTTTGTCAACTTTCTGCCCACACAGACTGAAAGACAGCCAGGCTTTGGCGGCGACCTCTGACCCTGCTAATGAAAAAGAGGCCGCTAAGAAAAAGGCTACTTTCATCACAACTGTTGACAAGTGTTAAGGGACTGGCTGAGCTCCAGACCAGCTCCACACGGCCTCCTTGATGCTCCGCACGTCACAGCGGGCTGCTGATTTCAATCTCAAGTTCACAGGGAGACCAGCAGCTAGGCGGCCTGCCAGACAGACAATAACATTAATCCAGACAGACACAGGTAAGACGGGAGAGTGCGGGGGGTGGCAGTGCCTTTCATGACACAATATGCAAACCACAGTTCTTCGCAGCAGTTCCCTGGCAGGGTTTTGGAAGTGGTTGTTAAATTCTTTAGTGAAACAGACAGTCCAGACTATAATTAACCAAAGTTGCAAATTCGCAAACGTCGTCTGTAATGGTCAAATCGTCCACCAGGATCAGTGAGTTTTGTACAGAATATGTGATTATATTAGAGATGTATACAAGTACTCTCTTCAACAAAAACATGGTTTCACCCACATAGATATTAGCACTTGACCGTCCTGCCTGCAGTCCACATCTGTCTCTCTTACAAACTTTATGACTGGGGGAATCAGCTGCATGACCTCACTACACAGATAACAACAAACAGGAAGTAAGTGGAACATTCTACAAGGATATTTAATGGAATTTAACTTGGCCTGAGTTGAAACACTTTTGGTGAACTTCCTAAATTTGTCCACTAGGAGGCAGAACAACATTTAACAATGTATCACATCTGTCGGATAAAAACAGTCCACAACAACAAAATGAACAAATTCACAAAATACATTCGATAATTGTCGTTTAGTCATGTCATTAAGATTACAGGACTGGCATGTTTTCAACCGCACAACAGTACAGCATGTCAATATTTGCTGACAGAGACTGTTAATGAGACAGGAGACATGAATCAAAAGCAGACAAGGAGACCAGACAGGATATTATCAGGTAATTTTCCTCCCAGTTCAGGTCCATTGTGATGGCTAACTAGGACACTGTTACCTCACGTGTCTGTTTTGTATTTACATAATTGTATGCATCTAGGACGTACAGTAAGTAGGAGAGTAAATGAGTAGGCAAGTGAGAAAGTGTGAGAAAGTGAGAAAGGTCATCAAATTATCAGTCATCATGTGAGGATACAGGGTTGTTGTCAAACTATAGTACTATAGTACCACTGCTGTTACTTTGGCTCCCCTTAGTGGTAAGCCAGGATATGTGACTTTTACTTTTGCTCTTTGTGGGTGCGTGATTTTAGAATTTAATCAAAATACCAGTTTTTGAGACACTTCACTTTCACTGCTACTATTTCATAGTGTTATTTAATTGGTGGTTGCATTAGTGGTACTTGCAGAGCCAAATATATTTGAAGGTAATACACGGTGTAAAAAGTTTGACGACGTGTGAAGACATTAAAGGCTTAATTGCGAAATTATGCCAATTATGATCATGATTAATTGTGATTAATCATGGAAAGGAAAAGTCCAGAGAAAGTCTATCACTATCCAGCCACGTCAAATGTAAATGGAAGCACAGGGAGGGAGGAAGGATGCATGGGACAAAATGTTCTAACTCCAAAAGCAGCATGACTCAGAAATATTATACCGACTATGTGTTTGGGGATGGGTTGGGATGAAGGGAGGGCTATGCCTCTTACATCACATGATGTACACTGGTGCCAATTCGACAAGAATCTGCTCAAGAGTCGTTTACGCTACTCTGACACACTGGGTTTGAAGTACAACTACGACTTCCTTTTTTAATACATTTAGAGCTGTATCTTAGACACTGACACAGCAGGCTATCAACAACAGCTGATGTAATTACACACAGTGGGACTGTTCACCACTTGTTCCATTGGTGGTTTATACTTAGGTGGATGATAATGACAAAGCAACATCAACACTGTTGGTGCAGACGTGACTTGAATGATAATTGAGATCAATAGGAGCAGGAGCATGGCTACAGAAGCACATCCCTTTATTAACATTTAATGAAAGCACCAACATCATTATTAATTGATGCTGTAAGATCGTAAAAGTCAAATCAACAGCAGAGTGTAGGTTATTTTTGTTTGTGTAGAGAAGGCGCCAGGCTTTCACTCACTTTATTTTAAAGGCAGACACTACACATAGTGCTGTTTCCTTCACAGTCACCGTGACGTCACAGCTTCTGTAAAAACACCATAGGTCGCTGTGCTGTTATGAAGCTCCGCAAACACTAGAGGGAGTGCTGGACTATTAGGAGTCAGCTTGATGGTTTGTTGGCTCCGTTACGTGATGTTCCTTTTTCTTTTTTTTTTTTTTCTTTTTTTAAGAAATGCCTTCAAGACACAAATCTCAAAGATGAATGTGCCAAACGTCTGGCTTTTATCGAACACTATGTTCTTTATGTAACCTATTTGACCAGAAATGTCATTACACTAACCCAACATAAAATAAACTTAAATTTGTAGTTTGGTTATTGACCTGAACATTCATTCATCCAGCAAAATAACAACATTAAAAAAAAAATCGTTCACCTGGAAACAGAACCTTTTGTAGAAGATAAAACAATTGAGACAAGTTTGAAGTTGGTGCAAAAAAAAGTTGGTGACAATTTGAGCTACAGGAGGTAAAAACACTGCACATGTCCCCCACTACCTGAAATGGACTGAGACGTCTGGGCCTATCAGAGTCGGAGAATTTGAAATAAGCTTCCGTCTAACTATTTTTAGATTGCAGTCAGGTTCTGTCCTCCACGGTTTATGCCTCTGCACTGTGAGAGCGTATGAATATTAATCAATGCTTTCATCATTTGTTATGGAAAGGCTCCCTCTGTCTGTTTGAATGGCAGGGGAGCCATAAACCTATTTTCCACCTCTGCAGTATTACCATACGAGTCAAAAGCATTTCTTGTGCAAGTAGAGCAGAGGGCTTGTTTGAACATAAAAGCCGCTCTGAGGAATGGAAGCCGGTCTGCACGGGTGAATAATTCCTGCTTTCAGGTTTGTTTGGTGACGGGATGATTAGTAATCAACAGGTAGAGTGCAGGGTAACTGATGTATCCCACAGACGGGCCTTTGTCAGACAGAGCTGCGTGGATAAATGTGCGTGTGTTTACAAATGAGTGTTGGCAGAAGGAAAACACCTCCAAGCCTCAGACTACGACTACAAATCCTCACACGACTCTCCTCACACCTAAAATAAGGCTTGTATGTCTGCATGTTTACCTTTGAACAGACACGTGAGGATAATTTCCTTCAATTTAAAGAGTTATTTAGAGATGAAGACTTGGTTTGTACGTCTGTGAGGTTTTCTTTGACAGCTCAGCGTACTGGATGAAGAAGTCTCTCAAATGAACCTGTGGCTGTGTCCGCATCCACTTGGGAAATTGTAAATGTTGGCGTTTGTCCTGTGTGTTGGTTATTTATGATCAGTTAGCTGATGGCTAAGTGTTTGTGCCTGTATCGACAGTTAATGCATAACATCAGAAGGAAATCAGATTTTTCCTTTTCTTTGCATTGTTTTGGATTGCATCACAAGCTTGAAGAAAAAGTATAAAAAACTATTTTTGATGGACAAACTTTTCACTTTCTCTGTGTAGGGGTTACTAACGTTGCTAAAACCCTTTCCACCTAAACAGGCAGTGATTGTCCTTCTGAATTAAGAGGTTTAGTTTCAAATAAAAATATCTGGGCCAGCTGTCACCATGATGTTACTTATGATCCTCTGAGGCTTAAACGAGTTAAAGTAATGTTGTATGTGTGGATAAGGATCAGTGCGTGCATCCATCCTACTACATTTTTAATTAACAGCGGCTCAATTTTAACATTTTGAGCAAAGTTCAAAAGATTGTTACTGAAGCGGGAGGCTTTATTGTTAGGATTTAAGTAAGAGGTGAAGGTTTGTTTGATTTACACCGAGCTCAGGAGATGTGGGAATTAATAATGAGATCCAGGTCTCCCTAGTGGGAAGTACAATTATCCTACACATAGCATTAAGTCAAACAATTTAAAACTGTGTCTTGACCGCAAACAGCACAAAGAGCAAAAGACAAGGAAAGCTATTAAGACAAATAGACTCCAGCGAGCCAGAGGGGAATCTCATTGAAAGTTTGCCCTGAGATATGACTTTAAGTGTTGCTATGACAACTGTAGCTCCAGCTGAAGAGAGATGAAAAAAATGTGTGGATTAATTCATGGGCAGAGCTGAGACCTTGCAACGAAACAATGTGGTTACAGCGGCAAATGAAGCAAAGAGACTCCTATTTTTCTTGCTTTTAAAATCCCTCTGTGCAGGAGTGGCAGCTTGTCACAGATGAAAGAATGGAACCTCATTATTTACATCATTATTCAATCAGTACGTTGGCTTTGAAAGAGTTCGGGGCAGAATAGCAGTGGTTTGATTGTTTGGGTGAGGGTCTCAAGGTGTTTCTGGTCGTGCAGGATTTTAGCAGTAGCTGTCAGATAATCATCACATTCCACTGCTGTTATTATGAAGTAAAACTCAGCAGAACTCGGCAAAAAGTAGGACTGGGCTGAATTAGTCCTGACACTGATCTACAGCCTTTCTAGTCTAGTGGTTAGTGTAGTCCTCAGTTCATAAAAAACAAAACATCTTAAATGTCTCTTTGGACTCCGCCCGACCCTAAAAGCTAAGGGATCAGGATTGTGATTACGAGGATTGGAGTTCAAATCCAAACCTATGCAGGACTGTGGCCTGTTGCACAAGAACTAGAATCATCAGAGGTTGAATCTCAGTCATGGGTGAGGACAGGGGGCGCTGTAATGTCAGCTCAGAGCTACAAATGCAGAAAAAACAATCACAGACACACACACGCCTCAGGCCTGACCCAGGTCTGTTCACTTTCCCTAGAGTGTGGAAAAATCTTTCTGTGGCTCCCCTGGGGGTTGGCCCCCACTTTAAGAATCACTGCTGTAAGTCCAGTGCACCCACCACATAGACCTGAGGCTATTATTCATAATTTAGAGTCATTATTGTGTTTATAAGATTTTTTTAATTACACAAACACGATTACAACAGGATCCTATGGGCCTAAAGCCCACCATGACAGCTGCAGTGAATATTATTTTAAGTTGGTGAGTTCATCAGTGTGACCCTGTGTCACTGTTTTGAAATTAGGCAGAGAAGAGAGAGTGTTTTTAAAGTGCACGCTCTCATGGCATGTTATGTAACAGAGAGAGAGAAAAAAACTCCAGTAGACGCCGAAGGCCGTACTGTACATGAGCATATGAAGACAACACACACGACCTTCCACAGTGGGGCACCTCACCTGTCCCACACACGTTTCACATCCACGCGCAAATCCACAGACAGACACGGACACTTTCACGGCAACACAATAACACGTGTCCTTTGTGGTCGAATGCCCGTGCAATCTTCACCAGCGCCCGTGCATGACCAGGGTTTATTGTCATACACACATCACACACCTGCCACACAAACTACATTTGCACAGTTGCTGTGTGCGTGACGTACGGACTGTTTATAGCTCTGTCCTATCAATAGCTGCTGACCAGTCCCTGAGACCATCACGTCTGTGTCATGAAGTTTCATAAGCACTGTTAAAGGTAAACACACACATGTCATGTGTATATGCTTTCATTAGAGCTGTCAACAATCAAAACTATAAATGTGATTCATCTCAATTATGGCTTGCTATGGATTCATCACAATTAATTGTGATTAATCATGAGGGTAATTCATTTCGATTAATCAAGATAAATCAGAATTCCTGAATATAACAAAAAAAGTTGTTTGGCAAAGAGCAGGCAGGCAGATGTATGTGTTTGACACCTGTGTTTTTGGAGAAAAGCTGCAGCTGTATTCCAGAGGATCTCGGGCTTCAATAAAAAAACAGTATCTTACCATCGAACCCTGATCCACCCAAAACCTTCACTGCTCCCACCCCACTCACTCATTTCATAATCAGAGTTGCCGAGCTAAGCAAAGTGAAAGCACAGGAAAAACTATGGGGGCTGGTGCCCGGCCCACGGGCCCATTCAGGGCGGCCGAAGGGCCGGTCTGGACCCCGAATGCTCAGATTACATCGCACATAATGAGAGGCCTGGCTCAGCAGGCTCTGCCTCCCTTTCTCTCCCTTCTCTCTCCCTCTCTTTCTCTCTTTTCACACACACACACACAGATCCATGTGACATTATTGCTGAAGTCCTGTTCTGTTCTCTCTGGTTACTACACTGATTATTGCCAGCACAGCTGCTTTACATGTCAGTGTTTGGCCCAGTGAGAAAGACAGGAAGCTGGCGTGGGACAGAGTGGTGCTGGGAGCTAAGGTCATCCACACACCACGGTGGCTAGATTGAAAACCAAGCCTTTTTTGCTAAGATACATGAGAGAATCTCTAACTCTGTAACTATGGCAGTTTGAAACAGTCAACTCAGAAGAGAAGTACTGACTGGCTGTTACTTTTAGGAAAATAAGGAACAACAAAAAGCATTCTGCAGAAAATGAAGAATCTGCCAAGAGACAGTTGTATTTATAATAATGGTCTGGCACCAGAAAAGGATTCGTTACTTTTGAGTACCAGACGATCAATTTTTAACTATATACAGTAGTAACAATGCAGAGTTCTGTAAATGTCAATATCTGAGTTTAATAACCTGAATCATTAGAGGAATTGATTAAAATCTATCTCTGAATTCGCCGAAAACCAAGTCATGACCTCATTTTTAACATCATGGGAACACTGACATTAATATGAACAGACACTGTAGTGATGGTCCCAGCAACTGGACTCTTATTGGACAGTACAGCTGTCAGTCAAACACACTTGCTGCTCATGTGCACTCCACTCCATTAACCTGATAACAATTGGCTGAACCATACTTTTAAGTACTCTCAACCCTTATTACATCTTAATATATCAATTACTTAACTAAAACTAAAATAAATTACTTAGATTAATGTTTGATTTTGTACAAAAATACAACCTTGCTATTATAAATTTTGTCTTCCTACCCAGTCAAAATGATTAAGTTCCACTGTCTCGCAGCATGTACTGTATGTTGAACCACCCTATAACTTACACCAGTGTGTGTGTTTGTAGATCAGGGTGACGTCCTTGTCCCTTAGAGCTAATGAGGCCTTGTGGACAGAATCCAGTGGCACAGTCTGTCCTTAATGCTATGGCATTAACCAAAAACAGGAGGCGAACCATTAATTCCCCCTGAGAACATGTTCATCATTGGACAACACGTTATGCATCTCACTGCAACATAACAGCTACTTAAAGGAGAACTTTGAAAAACAAGACAACAAATTGTCTTTCACACACACACACACACACACACACACACACATACTATATATATGTGTGTGTGAAGATGAAAGGAAATTATGGCAAATAACATTTATATGTTGACCTTGTTTCAATGGCAGAAGTGGGCCTCTCTCACATATGTACCATAGATTAATGACTGCAAGGATGAATGGGTGCTGTGTTCATATGTAATGATATGAACTGCATACACACACACACACGCATATATATATATATATGTACAGTATGTACTGGGTGTCAGTGTCTTACCCCAGGGGAACTCTCTGTCATCCTTTATATGCTTCTGTGTTTACTCTACAGTACAAATAATAATAATAAAAATGATTCATTACGGTGATCTCTGAAACACAAATTATTAATATGGAGCTTCTTCCTCTTCAGAAGAAAAGAAAACTGTCACTACGTGGTAACGGCATGTGTTAGAAATGGGGCGTATTCATTGAAAATCTGTCTAATAAACCCATGTGGCTGTGCAGCAGAGACTAGGAAAAGTCCAGAATGAGGTCAAACTGAAAACTGAACCAAGGACGAGACAACCTACTGACTGACAACTGAAAGAAAGAAGCTTCAGAATTTCAAAGGAGGTCACAAAAATACATCAAATTTGTTAGAAATCAACTTTGATGTTGGTTGCTGGATGGTGGAGTTATTAGATATGCAGTATTCGTTATCCTGCTAATGCGCTAAATGTCTTTAAAAAATGCAATCAGATCATTGTCACCACTGACAATAATACAGTAAATGACTAAAGAACAGCTACTGTCTGTCATGAACAGCCTCTGTCAGGAGCTCGTCTACTCAGTTTGGAGACCGTACTGTTGACTCATGACCATATTCTTAGCATGTCCTCTCTCTGTAGTTTGGCTGCTACATCATCTATTTTAGCCCTGCTCGGTGGACAGACATACTGTTAGTGGAGAAGAGGTGAGAGTTAAGGCAGAAGAAATAGAAGGAGTGGGAGGACTGACCAGTGGAGTCAAACCACACTGGGCTTTAGTTTCCAAACAGCTTCACACTTAATGAGTCGCTGCAGCAGTCGACGGCATTTCCATTCTTAGTGCACGGGAGAAAATAGTGTGGAGTTTATCTTTGGATGTTATGGGCAAGAGATGGATTAAAAATACTTTGTGTAATTTTCTCACTTGTGAGGCAACAGCTACCAACCGCTATTCCACCATGTGACCCACACTTGTAGTCATGATTTTGAAAACTGATCAGCGCAGAAACAGAAGCGACAGGTGTGTAGATTTGAAAGAAAAAAAAGACATTTGTAGAATTTCTGCAACATTTTAAGTGACTGCATTATAAAAAAAACAGAGCAGTAAATTAGTTCACAGTCAGGACCAGAAATATCACATTCACCTGCTTTAACCTCCCAGAGCTGGATTAGCATAAACTGGATGAAAGCTGTTAAACATACATGAAAGCACATATATCACGGATTACTCACTGAACAGTTCCTAATCATTGATGGTCCGTCATTAAAAAGTGACAAAACGAGTCAGCCTAAACATTAACACAGTAAAGAGGTGAACACTCGTCGTTGGTAAAATCTCAAGTCGGACAGTCTAACCACCAGAGTCCACTAATCTGTTGCCTTCGGTCTTTGGCAACAGCTTCATCTGTAATCAGGAGTGATGAGGGACAAGTCCATGTCCAACTCCATACCAGCCTAAATCAAAGTCTACTGTGAGTGAACTAACGCCTGAAGAAGTGGGAATTCATCTGAGAAAAACACAACTCCAATTTCTGTCTGGGAGATTCAGCCTTGAACTATATGACATCCACAGGAACACACACACACACACACTTAAAAACAACTGACAAACTCCAGCTCACTGTAATTTCACATATATATTATGCAGTATCATCACTTAGATATTATTGCACTATTCACTCGACAGTAGTAATATTAAAATGGTATCTCAGACACAGACATATGGATTTGTATCAGTCTTTTACGAACAAACATCTATTGGTTACAGCTTTCATTTCTGAAGAGCGAAACCAGGTGGATAGCAATCCTGCGGATCTGTGTAAACACACACACACGCACACACACACACACTCACACACACAAACAAAGAATATATAATCACTGTCTGCGACTTCCTGTGGACGGGGCAGGCATGAGGCTAAATGATGATCTTTATGTCGTGGTTCACTGAAAGCCTGTGGTCTCAGTGTGTCGGTGTACGTTTCTATTTTGTGAGTGCTTGTCCGTGTGTCACTGCATACCCGGCCATTACCCCGTCTGTTGTGTGTGTGGCTGTCAAGCCACCATGAATCTGACTGGAGCTGAGGTTGCAAAGGAGGAGAAATTGAGGAGGAGGAAGATGAAGCTGTCGGCTTACGGCTTAGGGACAACTTCAAATTTTCATCTCCGGCTCGACAGCAGGATTTACTTTCTGGCTGAAGTAGAGTAAAGACAACAGGAAGACGCAGCTGCTCTGACAATGACAGGCCTGAAGTTTGTCAGTGTGTTTCACACCAAAGGTCATTACTGCTGTTTGAAACACCATTACTGTCATCATAATTAGTACTATTTGGTAAACCAGACAATCACCGTCGTCATTATTGCTCACTGCAGCGACCACATTATCATCCCTGCTATGATTGACACCATCATTATCACTGCGCCACTGTAATAAGAACATCATGGTCTTCTCCTTCACGCTTCCTCTGAGCAGAGGTGGGTAGAGTAGCCAAAAATTGTATTTAAGTAAAAGCACTACTTCAGAGAAATATTACTCAAACAGAAATAAAAAATAGTCATCCAAATAATTACTAAGTAAGAGTAAAAAAGTACTTGGTGAAAAAACTACTCAAGTATTAAGTAACTGTTAAGTGACATCCAATTTATTTTTTAACAAGCATTCAATCAGCTAGACAAAATTAAATGACGAGTTTATCCTATCAATAAAATAATAAAATAAAGCAAATTAATTAAATACCTTAAAATAATCTTTAGATAAATTGGGGTACTTCAATAAAAATAAAAATCAATGACATAATAGAGTACATAAAATAAATATTTACAAAATAAATAATAATAAAAAAAGATTTTAGGTCAAACTTACCGCAACATATTTCCTCACGTTAGACGTTGAGTTTTTTAATGCTAAATATACGTTTGTTTTGGGAGACACAAAAGACACAGCATAACGTAACTGCTGTTCCGCACTGTTTGTAAACTAAACATACTTTCGATATGAGATTTTACAGTGTCACAAGGGTGTGCCTCCTCGTCTTCGTTTGACCGTCGTGCCGACCGTTGATTCTACCATTTTTGTGCTATTAAAGACGTGGATATCGACCGCAGTAGCCGTTTAACTAACCGGTCCCGCCGCTAAAATTGAGTATGGTCACGTGACGAGTTTTATTGGTTAAACACAGTCACGCGATAGAGGCTTGGGCGGAAGTCTCTCTCTGAAAATAAATAAATAAATAAAGTAGAGATACTGGATACTGGATAGCTAAAACTTTATCCAGTATCTCTGATAAAAGTAACGAGCCCAGTATAGCCTAATGTAGCGGAGTAAGAGTACTGTTTCTTCTTCATAAATCTACTCAAGTAAAAGTAAAAAGTAAAGTGATTCAAAACTACCCCTAGAAGTATTTTATTTTGAAAAACTTACTCAGGTAAGACAGAGTAGATGTAACTCGTTACTACCCACCACAGCTTCTGAGTTACTTGTAGCACAGACCCCTGCAGGGTTTGGTTAATAACGGCGGTTCTCCTGAGACAGCACATCTATTGCTTTCCTGCCGAGGACTCAGCTGGATCACATCTGCCATCTATCACGTGAGGTTACAGAGCCGTGCTGTCGGCTGTCAGCACACTCATAACTGTTTGCCTGCGGTGGATGACACACTTACAGTACATTAAAGATTCATTTCAGGAGACTGTCTGTCAGGTCGCATGGGACTCCAAGGAGATGTAACAGAGGGGACGAGTGTCTGGTCATTGACCCAGGTTAATTGGAAACAAAGAAGTAAAGACCAGCTCATAATCAGACAGAGTTTTAAATCGTCTTTATAATCAACATTTATTAGGTTTAAAAGATCTGAACAGACGAGTTTTAGGTATTTGACTAAATCATGACTCAGTCCATTAAAACTGTTTCAATTTTAGTTTCTTTTTAGTCAAGGAATATCAAAATGTAGTATGTGTAAGATTTTTAGAATATTTACTATACTTTTATCAAATGTAATTTGGCTGTCATTGCTATCTAAGAGAAAAACATTTTAGACAGTTTGCAGGTTCAAATCCCATCCTCCCTGGTATACTGCCAGGTATGGCTTGTCATTGTATCACAATATGAACAATAACAGATAAAACGGAATCTTCCCTTTTCTGAAAACAATTGTCCACATGTGAAGTTCACCTCATCATTAGCTCCACAGCAACACCAGCTAACACCAAACGTCAGAGCTGAACGTAAAACAACATGACGCTGCTTCAAAGTGGAGACACTCTGCTGATGTTCACTGTTTTCCTCTGACTCTGACCCTGTTACTCTGCTGCTTCTCTTGGACCTGAACATTTGCATTAAATAGAGAAAAAAAAAGCCTCATAACAACAGCTAAACTTTATTTGGGTTAGTCAGAACCACTTTATTTGATGTCTACTGTGTACTCACTGCTATGTAGCGACGGTGAGCACAGCTGTATGTAAATATCAGGTTGCTGCAGTGAACTACATCGCCTCTATATTTAGACCCAATGTTTATGCTTCTCTCTGGCTTCCTGCAGCGCCTCCGTTCTTCTTTACTATTTCTGTCATTCCTAAATCTCTGCCTCCTCTTCCTCTCATTCCTCCACCTAGTCATGTCCCTGCCTACCTCTCCATCATGTCAGCCGTCTATTCCATCTTTTCTACCTCTAACTTTCCATCTTTCTTCCCCTCCATCTGCTCTCCTCACTGCTGACGTCTGCAGTGGCCGTGGAGTGCTGCCAAGAGCTGTCTTAAATCAAACTCACTCCTAATGAAATTCACACACACTCTCTTACACACACACAGACACACATATATGGTAATGTGCTTCAGGCATGGACTGGAAAAATGAACACCTTCACACATGTTGATGTGACTCCAGTGTGTTTTATAAGCTTATCACAACATTTATGCAAACACACTTTTAATGCAGGATAAGTCACGTAAAAACAAGAAGACGATAAATCACATAAGGATCGAAAGGATTGATTTAATTATATTCATTTTTGGTGTAATGTTTCATTGAAAAGTGTGTCTCTGGGAACATGAGGTAACACAATATCTTTATTTTTAAATTTGGATACATTTTAACCCTAGTGGATGTTCTGTCTGTTACCAAACTGAGCTACTGTCTCATAAAAACATTATCTAAGAAAACAATTATATCAACTACTAGGCAGGGCTACAGTACACACTTTCAACTACTAGGCAGGGCTACAGTACACGCTTTTTTAAATTTTAAATTTTACCTATGATCATGCACCTGTATTTTACAGTATTATATAGAAACATGTCTGTACGCAGCTCATGTGGTTCAACTTCCTGCTCTTCATTATTCGCTCACACTAACCCACCAGTAAACCATGGCTGACAGCACGGCCGACACTACATTGCACAATGGGATGGGTGTTTTATGGGCCCGCTGTGGACCAGGATGAGCCTGCGGTATCTGGAGGCATGATGAAGTATAAATCAGGCCTGAGATGTGGCTACTGTTTAACTCCACTGCACCACACAAACTGGAGGGAGAGGAGGGCTGTGTGTGTGCGTGTGTGTGTGAAGGACACAGCCAAACACTTATTCTCCAGACACCGTGTTTTCATTACTTCTGAAGCTTTCTGTTAATTTTACAACCTCACCATTCCCCAGCGCGGAGCTCTTTAGTTAAATTAAGTTGATAAATACCTGGGATTTAATGTTAATTTTCTCCCCAGCTTTCACCTACATCATGATTCAATGATCTCCTTTTTTTCTTCTTAGGCAGAACGCTCTGATTTTGACACCTCCCCAGAACTGTTTTATACATCAGTACAGAAACAGCATGAAATCCAAGTCTTACTTTTAAATGCTAAAATCATCCTCCAACATGATGAAAGACAGAAACAATACAATTCATTATTTATGGGATTAACAAAAAACACAATCACATTGGGTCCTATTTTTCACCCACTGTCCAATCAGGACTGATTACAAAATGGCTACAATTGAAGATACTGCCTGGGTTGATGGTCAGTAAAGGTGTGTACTCCTTATATTACAGACAAAGCAACTCATAGTGCATTACAGGGGCAGGAAAACATTGGCATGAAAACAGAACATGAACAATATCAATCACCAGACTGACGGTTAAAGTGATTAAATCAGCCGTAAATGTTTTCAGTTGCAATTCAAATGAACCGACCGTTTGTGCAAATCTCTGGTGATCGGGGAGTTTGTTCCACAAGTGAGGACCATAGAAACAAAGGCTGAGCTTAGAACACTGAACAACACTGTCCCCACTGACCTGAGAGGTCTGGATGCTTTGACTCCAGGGGAAACCGTTAGGGCAACAGCACCGTATCATTTCTGAAGTAACACAAAGGAAGGCAGATTCTTTTCCACTGGAGAGCAGCCAGATCATCTGGCTGACAGTTGTGGTGATCTTAAAAAAATAAATACAGCTGCAGGCAGTGAAAAGCAAAATAGCGATGATTCCAATGGAAATGCACAATGGCATTGAGAGTATTTAATTTAAAACAAACATCGGTTCCATGTCAGGTATGTCTGCTCTGCTGGTGCTGCAGTAACCGACCACGTTTCTACATCTTACTTTGATGTTAATGTGGGAAACTGAGCAAACACTAAAGTTGAGGGAAGATTAAAGGCTGCTGCTGCAAATGCATGTAAATCCTCAGAGAGGGGCAATGCAAAGGGGCAACTTCTTTTGTCTGATTAGCTATGGATTAATCATGATTAATCGTGATTAATGGTGATCATATTGAATTATGACTAATCATGGTTTATTAAGATGGTGATTGCAATTAATAATGATTAATCATGATTATTTAGATCAATTGTGATTCCAATTAATTATGATTAATCATCAATTGAGATTAATGGAGGTTGTAATTAATATTAATAATTTTGATAATTAAAAATTTAAAGTAATAGGTGTTTGTGCTGCCACGAACTAATTCAAATGATGCAGCAATAGAGAAAATTAAAAAAACAAAAAGGAAACATTTTCTGTTATCCTAAGCTCAAGGTACTTCAGTAAAGTTAGTGACTGTGTTAGAGCAACATACAGTAAGTGGAAGGATGGTGGAATCTGTGGATATACATTATGGTTTGTTTTGCTCATGTAATAAAAAAAGGGTTCAAAATTCTAAATATTATTAATATAGAAAAAGACTGATTGAGAATAAAGGTGTAATTTCAACAACCCTGATAAAAAAATGTTTCAGATTAACCAGCAGAATAAAAGACTCCCAGGGTTGGGCAGGATAACACACGACCAGTGACAGCTGTGGTAATAAAGTTGTATTCACTGACCCACACTCCAGTGGCTCCCAGACTGCTGTCTCTGTGACTTTGAGAACACCATACAGACTGAGAAAGTGAAATGTGGAAGTGAGTGTGTTCAGGCCTGCACGTGAGTGTCCTACACCGCCTCATTAGTGGGATAGTTGAAATTCCGCTGTCCTGAGTCAGTCGGGGCTGTTCCAGCTGTGGAGACGTTTTCTGACAGTGTCCGAACAGGTTCACTGTGAGAGGAGAGGCCCTGCGACTGACTGCAGTGAAATGAAACCTCCTCCTCCTTTGAAAGCTGTCAAATTCTTGTGAAAATATGTCCAATTGCACTCTTTTTTTCAGCAGTTCTTTCTCCTTCTCTGGCAGCTCACCTCATTCCACACACTGCCAGAGAAATACCTTTCATACACTGCTACCACACATACACAGCACAGAATATGCATAGATACAGGGATGGGTTTGTTGTTGTGTGAGTGTGAGCTGTGTTTGCCAACAATCCTGTCTATGTCATCTCACACACACGGGGTAAACACTTTCCCTTTATAGCCTGGAAACACATAAACACCACGGACACAAATGTTTTATGGAAACAGAGACGGCACTGCATGTCATTAATGTTCACTGTGTGGCCGTCACCGGGCATTTTTCTTTCATATGTGTAAATGTTATTCATGGAAGTGGTTAAAAATATTCCACAGTACAGGTGAAGTAAATCCAGACGGACTCTAGGATTGACAGGAGAAGTTTTTCATATTCACAGTCTTTCTCTATAAGCAACAGAAGAACCGTGAGGACACAGTCTTTTAAAGTTCTGTAATACTGAAGAGTATAACTTTGTCTTCAGTATTATATTAAACACATACATAATATTATATCATATATATATTACAAAAAATTAAGAAAAATAAATGCTTTTATTTCATTTAGAATTAGAATCAGAGATACCTTATGGATCCCCCAGGGGCAATTGTTGGTATTACAGATGGTCCTGCAAGAGCAAAAGAACACAGAAAGAACCACCACTGCCTCATTAAGTTAACCCAGATATAGGCAAAAATTTAAATAAAGTGTCAACTGAAGACCAAGATTACCTAAATTAGTATTATGGCAAAACTATTAACACTTCAGTTCACTTCAAGTTAGAATAATATATTTCAGGCACTTCCAGGGCTGGAGGCTCCATGAGACAGAATAATATATTTCAGGCACTTCCAGGACTGGAGGCTCCATGAGACCAAAAAAACAACAACAACAAAAACAACTTGCTGCTTTACTTCCTCTGTGTCTTTTAGGCCTGAGAACAAATTAGAAAGTGATGTACAGCAGGTGTCTCTTCCTCCAGTCTACGTACTTTACCTTTGACTGCCCACCACCACTGGCCCTGCTACAGATCTGCAGCTACAGATTGCACAGCAAAGATTACTCACCCCTTGACAACCTGAGTCCATTAGTCTTTTTCGAACAGAGTTGGAAGAAGCTGATTCCAATCCTCACAACCTTGGAATAAAAAGAGTTTGTGGAGGTTAGAAACAGAAGTGATTTTTATGTTGTTTTGGGTGTGTATGCAATAACTCCCAATGTTTACAAATGAAAACTCCCACCACTCCCTGCAGAGGATAGAATAGTTCAGCCATATATATATATATACAGTGTTATACTGAGTTTATATTAATAATAAAAAGAGCAAAATAACTTTTACAAAAACTATTGAAAAACATTTTGAATCAAACATCTGAATCAGTCATTCTGATATATCGACTAAAGATATTTAAAGCACAAGTTAAAGGAAGAGAAAGTAATATATTCACAAGTCACTTCCTGATTTTGAGGTAGACTTTCTGACACCTTGTAATTACATTTTTTGCTGGTAAATTCCTACTCCTGTGCGAGGTAAAAGACAGCAAAAACAAGAAAACACAGATAGAGGGCAGTGTCCTGGCAGATGAACCAAACCCACAAGTTTTTAATCACAACATTAAAATGTCTACTTCTACATATGATTACTTATGTACGTGCAGATGCAACATTTTTATATTGACTGTAACACAACGCAACTTCTTGATTTATTATTATTATACACACTGGGTCTTCCTTAGTAGTCGGTAATCTGTCCACACCAAAATGACAGGTAAGGGTGTGGTGTGATAAACAACACAGGAAACTAAACCGTGTGAGCAGTAGGCTGGGGGGGCCACACCGAGTGGGAGGGGCTTGAAGCCTGTGTTTGTCTAGATTTTGCTTGTACAGATAAGAGCAGCTGTAGTTTAAAGGGCCGGTCCCACGAGTGTCTGCTGAGGATATGGGTTTTAAAAAGACAAACTGGTCCACTCCCACTGAAATTTAAATAGTCTTAGATACCTGACACTTCATGCATCTATGGAGACGAGCCCATCTGCAGCTCTAGGGCGTATTAGTGGAACACTAGAACATATTTAGTGATGAATTAAAGTGTGTTTTCTCTGCCTACCAGCAACTGCCCATGTGTTTTAAATGGGTGTGAGCAACTGTGTCAATACTCCTGAGTCACATAAGCCTCCAGTGTGAGTGCAGTCAACACATGTTACCCTTCTCCCCTTCGTGAGCTAAATGTGAGCCAAGTGGTTCACTTGTTGTGCAACTTTTAAAAAAAGAAAGAAGACATGCTTGTACTTTTTGCTAGCTCAAACAAGAATGAGATTCAGATATATTCAGCGATGTTGGGGCCAAATTGTTTACTTTCCACTGTGGGGAAACGATATGTTGTTAGTGAAGAAATGTTCAGAGCAAAACACAATTCCCTGTAGCTCATCATTGCTCAATCAGCCTCAGCCAGGTTCCAGAAATAGATGGGGTGAGGGGTTGGACTGAGCCGAGGGACTGGAAAGCCATTAACTGGTTTTTTTTTTTTTGTTTTGTTTTTTTGCTGAGGAGAGCGCTATTACCATGCAGACCTGTCGACTGGCTGAGCCCACAAGCTGAGCTGAGCGCCACCTGTTTTCATGACAGGAGAAGAGGCTACAGAGGGCCGCACTTGGCACTGCATTATTACCAATAATATCACTTGGCAGTGTTTCACTCTCACTCTTTTCTCCTCACCCTCACATTGTCTTCGTCCAATTTGCCTCACCCTTTTTTTCACTCTTCTATCGTGGTTCTCCACTCGGTCTGGTCTCATTAGGATTGTTTTGGCTCATTGTTTTATGGCACGCTGCCCTCCCTGCCCCCCTTTATCTCTCTCTCTCATTGACCTTCACACATGGGGAGGTAGATAGGGATGGAAAGTAATTCAACACTAAACATTTATTTGATAGCAAGAAGTAAGAGTAAAAAGACAAAGCAGAAAACAAAGCAGGAATAGGAATAAATAAGGCTTTTTACTTCTCATTTCTTTTTGCATCAGTTTGTGTTTTAATGGTTAACCATTACCTTTATCCAATTATTTTCTTTGTTTCTCAAAAAAATACAATTTCCAATTCCAATAACGTATCATAATCGTATAAATGCGTTTATGCAGGAATAGGGGAAAAGGAGAACACTTCCATTGTTTTCTGTTGTTGTCAAAAATCCAAACTTAATTTGAAATTATTTCTGCACGTAGATAAATATCTTTCATTTAAAGCTTTGACTCATTAATTAACTGAAAGTAGGCAGTACTAAGGGTTTGAGTTTCAGTGAGTTGATGTATGAAAAACTCCAGCTGCTCAACACTCAGCGGTGCTGACTTTTTTTCTTTTAAAAAAAACAAAAACTCTTCTTTACTATATTTTCAGTAGGAGACTGATCTGGACTGCAGGCAGGATGGTCAAACACACACACATATTTACTGAATGGGAAATTATCCTATTAAACATTCATTTGATTCCTGGAACATTACTTGTCATTCTGACAGGTCATTGAACATCCACATGCCTTGACTTCTCATACACGCTGTTGTCAAAATGCGAACTAATCTGACCGCTGATCGTTTTTATGAGTCATGTCAGATGATCCTTGACCGTTTGAACTCTGGGCCAAAACTGATATAACATACATGCTACATGTTGTAAAGACGCTAAATTTAAATGGGGGTTGCATGTAAAGTTGAGAATGATTTATAGTAAGATGTTTTAAAAAGATCTGCTGTTTCTAAAGGGGAGAAACAAGACCTCCATTATACCAAACAAACATAATCAGTCATCTTCACTCTCCCCAGGCTTTAATGCTTTGGTCGAGTGAGAAAGTTTTCTCTGTGTTGATGGACGATAAACTCTTTGACATACCAAGGACAGTAAGAGCCGTGCAGTAAAATAAACAGAGGACAAACGTCCCGTCCATTCAGAACTCCTGGAGTAAACAGACAGTCACACACAGTCTGAAACACTATCAAATGGTTGATCATACATGAAATTAAACTGTGTTGTCACAGATCTTAAATGCACACACACACACCCTGCAGGCAGAGCTACACTGACTGTATCAGCAACTGAAACACGGTGAACTTTACACAGCCAGTGGATCGCAGAGTGTATCAGAGGACAAGCAGACAGACGAGCCACGATGAGCCAACCGCACTGAGAACATGATATCCCAGCAGGGTCAGGGTGATTTTAGTCGAGCTGCACTGGCATGACATCGGCCAACGACCAACCTTTCAACAGGAAAACAACACAGTTTCAAATATAGCACCGGTTGTTTCTGGTTCAAAGGAGTTCTGCTCCGATGAAATAAAGTAAACAAAATTGGTCTTAGGTTGAATAGACAACACTATCACACTTGACTTTTACCCTATATTATTTTGTATGTCCTCATTTTTGACATATTATTTTGTAGTTGGACTTGTATGTAAAAGTCTAGAAAATCTATAGTATAATCATTATGCGATTTAAATATCCAAATACCACCTTTACATTTGGCTGTACAGCATTAAAAACACACACAGTTATCCATTAACTTCTCATATCCTCCAGGACACTGGGTGAAATGTAAGCGAGTAGCTCGGTATTCAGTTCCACGCTCCTGGTTAACATGTCCTGACTCCATGTTCTGCTGCTGCATGACTTGTTTTTATTACTGCAGTTAAAAAGTCTCCCCACCACCAGGAGGAATATCTTTACTCTGACTTCGGGGTCTTTGATTAATTTGGTATTCTAAATTCATTCAGTCAGTTCCTCTCACTGGAAAAGGTCACTGGAATTATTACTTTTTCTGACTTTATCTTTTTTGCTTGTGCTTTATCATATGGTACAGCTGTGTTCTATGGAGGACTCCTTATCATTCGCCCAGATATTTGCTCATCAGCCGGGCTGTTCTGATAGTGAAGGGACGTCTCGTACATATAAGGGCAGATCTTGGTTGAGACGTTAACCAGAGTGGACACTACAACACTCCCCGTATCCATGTGTCATGACACTTGGCCAGAAGCAACTGTTGACCAATGCACACTGTGCTGTGAGAACAAATGTTGCCCAAGCAACAATGGTGGTGACAATGGTGGACTAGGAGTAAATCTGGGTGACTGACAGGTGAAGAAACAACATAAACCTGCATTCATTAGACCACTCCTGGTTGGAGTCGTCTCCACAACTGACAATCTGTAAAACCAACCACGCTGGGGAGTTAAAATGTATTTGTTCTTGTTCTGGGAGAACCTGACTGTGCCTGCTTCAGGGAAGATCTGGGTACTTGTCTGACAAGGCAAAAAAAAAGACCTTCATGCAGTATAATTGTGTAACCACAACAACTGAACAATGACGAACTGAACAAGTGTAATTATTTCAAGCCTTTTTAATACAAACTTATTAAACTATCAGTCCCTCTTGACATGTAAGACACTGACTCAGAATACTGTGTTATATCGTTTGTTTTATCAAGTATTGCACAATGTAGGTACAAAATTAATATACGATTACATTTTGTCCATAATATAGCAAAAATCTTTGAACTCTTAACAGAAAATACAACTCTTATCTTTTTCAAAAAAGCAAATATTCTTAAATCCCACCACTACGGAATATTCTGTACACAATCTTTAGAATAGTCAATTTTTTTTTCAAAGAGGATTCATTTTATAATAATTTCAATAAAAAAGAAAACATAAAGTTGCTGCAGCCATCACAGATCACTGGAGTAGTAAAAAGATATAAATGCAATACCATGTCGTAGAAACAATAGATACTCTGATATTTTACAAACTCTGTACTAAATTAAATTATACAATTAGAAAAAAGACCAGGAAATCCCACTTATTTATGCCAATTTTGTGAAAAACCGGCGGTGTCCAGTTATGTTTAAATACTGAAAGAGGCCATGAATTGTGGTTTTTTTTTTGTCTTTTTTAAATATCTCAAAACAGTCACATAAAAAAAAAATATTTTGTGCTTGGTTGGCAAAAGAAATGACAATGCTGCATGTTGAAGTTTTAGGTAACCAAGCTTGGACATCTTGTAATACAAGCTTCATTGTTTAAGAAATAAAAAAGTAAAACTCAAGGGGGCAAAGTATTTCACCCTCGGGCTCATGCTTTTGGACTTGTTACACAGATCTTACATTTGACAAGTCACATTCTTGTTCCTTTTATCCTTGACATTCTCTTCTTGTTTACATTTTTTAATATATATTTTTTAAAATGTGCATTGGTGTTTATTTCCTTGCCCCACGTCATCTCTGGTCGTTTCTGTCTGAAGTAGTAGCTTAGGTAGTACCTTTACATGTACTAGTTAGCCATAACAGGCTGGAATTGCTGGTTAGAATACTGCATGTTACTCAAACTGAAATTCAAGCCATCCATAAGGGACTTGTCGTTAAGGCCACCGTAGGCCGCAAACATGTCAAAGGCATTGCTGTACTGTAGGGGGCTGAGGCTGAGTGAGCTGTCCCCGGGAAATAGAGCACTCTGGCTGCCCTGACTCTGCAGGCTGGGGAACACAAACTCCTTGGCATTGGGGGACAGGGCTGAGGGCTTCTGGTGTTGCTGTGGCCCAAGGCCCAACCCGTATAGAGAGTGCATGGAGGTGGAGATGGCTTTCTGTTTCAGGAGAGTGTTCACATTCAGGCCCAGGTTGGTGGGAGAGGTGCGAGCCACTTTATTCACAGTACTGCTGCTGTTGTTGTTGTTGTTGCGGCCACTGCTCTTCATCTTAGTGGAGCCAAACTTGGTGGCAGCGAAGGTGGCTGTTGTGAAGGTTAATGGCTGTGTGGAGCGGGGCATGAAGGTGGGACTGACTGCAGCCGAGTGGCCAAAAGGAGGAGAGGGGGAGCTGGAGCCTGGGGAGGTACCATTCAGAGGCTCGTTAATGGGCATGAAGACTTGTGCATCAGGATTGAAGCTGTTCCTGATCTCCTTATCCACATCAAGTCCCCCATTGCTAGCTCCGCTTTCATTGCTGTCATCCACATACAACACTTTCACGGGCCCTTTCTCCCCAATCTGATAGGACACCTCGAAGGGATCAATCCACACACTGAGATCTTGGGGCAGGTTGTTGCGGACATCTTCAATGTCCAGCCCACTCTCTTTGGCAGCCTTCTCCACCACTTGATCCACCTTCTCACCTACATGGATGCATCTGAATCCTGAGCCTTTGTATGGCTTTTCAGGGTACCAGTGTCCCTCGTACTTCTGCTTCAGTTGACGCTCTAGCTCCTCGCCAAAAATGTTGACCCGTCGACGCGGCAGTTTGTTGTACAGGTAGGAGATGATGAAGTTGAGAGCTACTTGGATTTCAAGCTGCATAGCTAACTGCTGAAGATTACCCGGTGTATGACGATAAGGTAAAAATGACCTTAAATGTCTCCACTAGTTCTGCTTTGCTTATCCGTGATTAGCAGCACAGACACTGTCTGGGCAAATGACAGAAGCAACTGATGGTTGAAAGAGGTTTTAAAGTAAAAGTGCTGGTTGTGTAGAGAAGATGTCTTTCCACAGGTTGGGATTTTTTTTCCTGCAACAATTATCAGAAAGAGAGATACTGAAAATATGTACTCAGAGGAAAAATATCTTTAATACATCAAAATGCATTAAGTTAATTAAATACATTTTCTGAAATACATTTTAATGTTAGTTCAAGGTAATGTAATAGTATTTAGTAAAAGAGTAGACACATATTTATTTTAGCACTCCTCCTACTCTATATTATCCGTTTATATTGTTTAAGAAAGGTAAGGAGTGTAAAAACAAACCCCCCTCTGGGGCAATGGGAATCCTGTTGCATAATAGCAGTAGAGAGGATCCAAACACTAGAGGAGTTGGGCTCTGGGGCAATGTTATTGCATTGCGAAGAAAACGACTAAAATAGAGATCGTGCGTCCAATGGTAATAACAGTTAAAAAAAAAATTGTTATCGAAGAAAGGGTTAGCCTTTCCTAACGACGATCGTCAATTGAGGCTGGGTCTTGTCTTAAGGCAGGTACACGGTTTGACAGCTGCCTACATGAAACACAGTGTCGAAATAAAACGCAAAACCACGTCTTGACGACGCCCAAGTGTTTAGTGTGTTAGCAGAGCGGTTGGGCTTTCGAGTTAGCGTTTGTTAAAATGACATTTCCCGAACTAGGAAAGCACACATGCTCTGCTACAATAACGCCCGTCGGTAAGAGCTAATGGATACTGACGTGTTTTTATTTTTACTCCACTGGGCAGAAAAGCCGTCTCTCGTCAATCCGGGATATACAATCGCGTCCGTTTTTTGTTGAGGTGTTGCTTCTCTTTTTTCAAATACTAAAGCAGTGACTATTGTGCTGTTTTCTCACATGATGATTAAAAACGATTCCAGGTTCCGTGCTACATAAACGTACCAAAATACTATATGCAGGATGGCTGCTTGTCAGCTTCACCGAAATGCTCTCGGTCAGAGAAAAGCTCTAGATTATAGGAGACAACTGCAACGCAATGGGTAAATGGAGCAACGGTACTGTATCTTAAAAAGAAAAACGCAGTCAAAACGGTTTATACTACACTGAACTAACACTAATAAAAATGAACAAGAACAACAAGAGAGATTAAGTAGTTTTACAAGCGCAATAACCTAACTTCCGTGTATATATATCGAAGTATTTTAAGTTAATATGAGAACAATAAAAAAACAAACATATTTGACACAGTATAAACTGGACTCTCTCTGTCACTCTGCCTCACTCTATCGCACCCCTCCCTAACTTACCGAACTGACGCAGCAAATCAGCTTACTAAGTATGAATAGACCTCCAGTACGACAGTACAAATGTTAAAGACAATGTTTCTTACTTACTTTTCTAGACATATGTAAATAGTCAGATGACACTGCTTACCTTTGTTGTAAAAAAAATGACTCTCAGTAGTTTGGAGTACCGTTAGTTAGTGCAAATAGAAAATAAGGTATAAATACTTTCTTCACAGACAATATAATATCGACAGTACAAAAAAGTATTCCAGTACGTGTAAAATTCGGAGGATTGGCGTTCACGATTAGCGTTAGTTTCTGTTTTATAAGGTTATTTGGCGTTTTGCTTCTCCTTCTTTCAGCAGGCCCGCAGAATAGCTCCCTCCTACTAGGGAGTTTTGCAACTTCGTCCCAGTTCATGTACTGCTTTGCCTTTATTTATAGCTTTCCTCCGCCATGGGCACGCGGTAGGTGGTGATGCGGTTTCAGAGGTCAAAACAATACTAGCGGCTTCCATTGGCCCAAAGAAAAGATCCCACCCACAACACGAGGCTCTCTTAGTGCTGTTATTGGTTAAGCCGAGCTGTCAATCAGTAAAATATGGTTCTGAGAAACTGGAGACGCCCCTGAAAGGCGTCTGCGTCAGAGATAACATATAGGTCTGTGCTGACAGCTAAATGAAAAAAAAAAGAAAAAAAGAAAAAGTAAAATCAATACGGATTTAAGACTGTCTTATATCTAGCACATTCGGTGTCGGATTAAGTTATTATAAAATAAAAACTTGATGCATGCAACTCGATGCATCTGTATATGCTTGAGCTTTCTACACGTTTCTCATCTCATCTAAAACCCAAATACGTTTTTTTATTTATTACGTAGTATTTAGTACAAATGTCTTTGTCATTCATTTACATGAAAGTTTTAACAATACCTCCCAATAATAGTCGCAAACAATGTATACACTGAAAGACGACTTGTTCTCCTAAACGTCTCTGTTTACACAACACAACCAGACACCTACTGCGTTATTTATGCGATAACAACCACGTACATGTAAAAAAAATGTTGTCATATATTTACACAGACTATGGTGCATTATTTATGCTCGATTTCCCACGAAAAGCTGGTGAATGTAAAATGCGGAACAATACAGCTGGCAGCAGTGTGGGTGGTGCGGAATGACTATCTAGAAAACACATGCGCTGATTGGTCCAAAACGGGGCAGGAGCCCCGAGGTGAATGGCGTGTCCGTATCCAAGGTGCTGATGTAGGCTGCCTACGTCATCACTCGACGGAACGCACACTGTTGCCAAATATAAAGTGCATAAATAAACAAAGACATGAATTAGAACGCAGCCCACATGGATTTTTCCTCTTTTATGCTCAGAATATAGTTGCAAGTGTTATGCTGGACAACGTACATGTTTATATCAGCAAATGTGAAAACTCACATAAAACTTGCCAATACTGATGACAAAGACAGAAGGTGGTGTTCAGTGAACTCAGGGACTAACAATTAGCAATGTTTGTCCTAACATATTAAGTGCCTTCAGTAAATGACAGCCCTAATAAATAATTACGTGCTGCCCAATGTTAATCTAACATCCTGAGCGACTGCACTCTGTCTAAATCAAAAACGGTGAGGCAAATGTTTTTGTTTAAATAAATAATCCTGATATTATTCATAAATACAATGTAAATTTTCAACAGTCTAAAATTAAACGCAACACCAAATTGCTTTTAATTATTATTATTTTGAATGACTAAATATAACATGCCGAGTTGTGTCTCAATGTGAAGCCAGCCATGTTGCGGTGGTGTTGAAATAAAATAAAAGGAGGATATGTGCTATAATGTCCCTTTTTCATCTGTATCTGTTAAGCAAATATAAACAGTAAGTTCAGTTTAATGAGAAGTAGTCAGTGCCAAACTTAAAGCCCAGTATACAAAAGTAAGGGGAAAAAAACAGCCTAATGAGTCCAGTTGAAACAGCACAAGTCATTTTTAAATCATGGTTACATTTTGTTGCTGCCACTAATCTATTATTATAGACATAATTGCATCTTGTACTAAGTCAAAGTGTTTTTTTAACAGTCCACAAATTCCTTCCCTTGACTCAATGTTTCTGGCATCTGTCATTGCAAAAAAGTGAGTCATAAAATTTATATAAAGGTACAGTTGTCATACTCTATTTTGTAACACCCTCAATTAACTTCCTCTCTTTACGTAACTTTTTATAGTTTTCTCCACGTTTATACATTTTCATTCACGTTTTATTTATTTATTTATTTTGCACAACAAGAATATAAAATTGGCTGCTGGAAACCTACCAAGTATGAGAGGTTTATTTATGTCACTACTGCAGCTGGTTTTATAATAGGTTAGGCAAGGGCTGCTGGTCTGTGTAGGCAGACCGACAGCACAGTGTGGCCTTCTAGTTATTCATCATGCACTTGGGATTGCCGAGCAAAGTCATGTGCTCGGTGTGAGCTGTAAAATATGTGCAAAGAGCTGGCTTGGAAAGTGCTGTGGGGACAAAGATGACAGATTCTTCTCATGCATTGGGAGAGGGAAAGAATAGAGCAGAGGTTGTATATTTTGGCAATGGCTCATTAATCTAGATTTCTAACCTAGTATGACATTGACCTCTTCTTTAAAAAAAAAAAAACAACCAAAAAAAAACAATGTGACTTCTCCAACCCTGCCAGGGCCCGAAGACTTGTCGTTACTGTAAACTGCTCAGTTCAGCTTCACATCACATGTCCTCTACAGTTCTTTCTCACAGACATTCTCTGGCTTTTTATGCAGGTTCATATACAGCGAATGGTTATGGTGCTCTCCGACAGTAGACTGTTTGCTTATGGTGTACACATTTCCAGCTAACAGGCATCACCTGACAAAGTAAGGTCAACAGCCATAATGAGCCATGTTAAGAATGTTACGTTGATTCAGGGTGTAATCCACTAATGCATACTTCCCTGTCACCAACTATAAGAGACCTACAATAAAACCCCATTCTATTTAGGGGACGGAGTAATTCACCAAATTCTTTTAAAAATCAGACTCTTCAACATCTGCAATGCTTCCTTGCAAAAGGTAAATATAATAATGTATACATGTTTAGGTTAAGACTATACTGTAATTTCTATTCATAACCATCTTGTGTAATTTTCATCCCAGTTATTTCATCACATTAAGACAATCCTGCATTAATATCCTTGCATCAACATAAACCTGCCTGTTTTACACTGGGACTGAGCTGAGATTATCCCCCTCTCTGTTGTCCTGTGACAAACACACAGGCCCTGTGACCGGACCATGTACAAAAAAAACCCACTTAGCAGCGAATGCGTGACCGAGCAGAACAGACCCCTCCTCTTGACCCGACGGGGGTGAAAGTGCAAAACACAATTGACAAGGAAAAATCATTACAGCAATGTTTTGAAAGAGGATAAGCAGAGCTCACATGAATGTTGAAGCCAACAAACAACTGCTCCACGTCTGCCTCCCACTCTCCTCCCCCCTGTACTATTATCCCCCTCTCGCCCCCTCATCTTTCCTCTTTCCTGCTCAGCCAGAAAGCTTTTGACGTCACTGGTTGTTATTACTTAACACAGCTCTGCAGTAGGCCCTGGGCACATCGTAATAGGCAGATGCTTCCCTGTCTCTTTGAAGAGCAAATGAGTTGCGAGTGAGACATAGGGGATGAAAGATGCAGGAGCAGCATGAATGATGAGAATGTTAAAACCAAAGCTTAGAAAAACACAGACAACTAAAGTGTTTAAAGAGAATGTGGACCATCACTGACACACAAGTAGAACAACTTCAAATATTTTAAGTGTATTTATTACTAAAAACACAAGCCACAACCTGTGGACCGTAGGATTACAAAACAATGGAATAATAGCATAAAATTAGACCAGAGAAAATGAACTTATCACTGTGCTAGCAGCTGTCATTGAAGCGTATAGATCAAGAGACATTCACTGTGCTATAGCATTCATTCATTCATTATACATGCTGAACAAGTCCGTTCACCTTCATCCTGGGTCTGATGTTCAAAACAACCAAATCCTATCAGCGACATTTCATGAGTGGCTGAGCCTTTAAAACCCACATTCTATAGGATTATTGGAGAATGACAACCTGTACAGTTTCTGTTATTTATACTGGGACACTGGCATCATGCTGAAGCCCTCTATCCTGGGTGAGTCACAGATCATGCATGCATGCACATGGATGACATGCATGGCAAAGCACTCAGTATGTACTGTAAATATAGGGGTTATGTAGCAAGATGTCACGACAGCAGAGCGGCTGAGCAGTTGCCTACATAGCTCACCAAGGCTGTTACATAATTTATCAAATGTCAGCCTTCTGGGGCGACACCTATAGATTTGTTCATTATACAAAGGTGTCCTAGAATAACCAAGTCCAAGCGATGTAAAATGTATTATTATTTAATTTGTTTTTGGCTTGTTTTAAAACATCAAATATGGGGAACAAATATTTCAAGAGTAGTTTTATTTATTCAAAATGATTTTTTATTAACTTATTATGACAGAGTCTAGACTTCTTGTTGTTCTCACAGTTTAGCCCAGAACCCTGTGCATGACTTCTCATTGTTTTTGCCCCTTCTTGTAACATTTCCTTTCAGAAACATCAGGTACTGCATGGCAGTATATAAGAGTATACAAGATAGCTGTAGATTTAACCAAGAGATGGCTAAATTAAATGCTAACTACCCCTGATGCTAAAATACTGTACGACTGCTTTAACATTAATCAAGACACCAGTTTAACTACGACTGCTTTAACATTAATCAAGACAATGCACCAGTTTAACCACACAGATATGAGTGGGAGCAGAAACATACTGAGGTGTTTGTATTGTTTTGTGCGTGACATGATGTTTTTCCAGTTTAATTTAATGTATTACTGCGACAAAACAGGAGGCCACAGCACGTACAGGAAGTGGCTGGACGGTAGGACGTTCCCTACGTATGGGTTTGTGGAGTTGGAGTAGACCTTCTGTACCATGTTTGTATTTAAGAGCTCAGTGTGTATGAATTATTGACAGCAAATACATCTGTCTGTAAATATAAATATGGACCAGATGAAAACCTAGGTTATCTTAACTATCATTAGTATTTTTTCACACCACAAACCAGAAAAATATTTGTATGCATTATCTAATCTATTCTACTGTAATGGAAGAAACATAAGAAATGACTAACATTACTCCCAGTTGAATTTTATTATTTACCAGTTGAAAGGCTTCCCTGTGGTGTACCAGTGGTGTGTGGTGTCTCTTCTGCATCTATGTGGTCAGCCTTATGTATAATTCATGTGAAAAAGGACTGTGTTACTTCTGCAGCTGTTCTCTCAGTGGTTATCTTGTTTTCATTACTAAAAATAAAACATTT